TGTGCTGTGTTTATAAAATAAAAATGTCCTGTCCGTACACACAATAAAAACATATAACTGTTACAGCAGCCCAAACCAACTTACATGTGAGAATGACTCAGAAATGGTAAAAATAAGGAAATGATTCCTACTATGTGGTGGGCTTCATCCTCCTCTGTGCTCCAAATGAGGGTTAATGCCATCACATTGAAATGGTGCTTTGTCATTCCATTTGCTTGTCACATTTTTTATTCATTACAGACCACATAGCAATGACTAACAATGTGTCAGCAGGGAAACGGCATCTGTTTACTCCACCAACACTACCAAGCGCTTCCCAGGTAAACTTGAAGTGACAAGCTTTCAGCCTTTTTATCAATATGAATGAAATATTTAACTATGTGACACATGAAGATTGTTTTCCAGTCATTTCATGGTCCAGCAACAAATTCCCCATAGTCTTCAAGGATAATTAGCACATAGTTACCATATTCTCTTAGTAAGTGTTCTGCCAATAATTCTTTCTTGGTTACCCTCAGATGTTTGATTTTTCTATTACTTTTTCAGGCAAATTAAATCCGCAAAACATTTTTTTTTCAGATCTCTCCAATAAAATGGATACTGAGAAGCTTGGTAAATTTTGAATTAGAGTGTCAAATGGACAGATGCAGTAGCTAATTGAGAAAAAGAGATGATACAGTATATGTGTAGAATTGTCCCCCAGGCACAGAGCCGTGAAAATCTACTGACTGTGTATACCTCTCCTTACCTTATCTATGAACTCAGCAACATCAAAGCAGTTCTCTCTCAACAAACAACTGTGCGATGAAATGAAATGTACCTCTTGGCAGTATCCGTTAGGGTGCTGGAACACTACATTCTGATTGTAGAGAATTAATGGAGCAGAAAAAAAGATGGTGTCACTGGAAAAAATAAAACTGCATCTTCATGTGTGTGCTTTAGGTGATAGTTTGATGCATTTGTGAAAGCTAAGAAAAACACTAAAACAGAAATAAAATGCTGTTGCTAATGGGAGAGTTTGACACATGAGGTCTCCACTACTACCATATGATTAGTTTATAATTATGTTATAATTATTTTACTACTAATATTATTATTAGTTTAGACTGATAAACGTGGTTTAACTCAGATAACCAGACATTGCTTGTTAAGTATTCACTCATTTTACACTGGGACACCCCATTTACATCTCATTTATTAATACCCCTGTACTTCTGTAGTACCACAACAAGTCTCATGGTTGCCTCAGGAAGGTGTACAGGAAAGAACTATTTGCCATTTGTGTGCTGTGAAAACTCACACGTGTGAATGCTCACATGACACTGGGAGACCCTAAGCTTCTCCATTTGTGCATCAAACCAAGGACATCCAACCAAAGAGGCATTCAGCCAGTGTGCACAGCTGTTTGGGATCAGCCTAGGAACAGTGGTGCACACTGTCTCTATGTCTATGCATCACTCTGGTCCAAAGAGACAGCATTGTCTGGTAAGGGTTGTAGCAGACCCTAATGCCAGTATTAATTAATCTCTAATTAAAATGCAAACAAAAATGCAATGTTGAATAATTAAAATTAACTTTAAAGCAGAACTTTAGGTCCAAATATCACTGTAGCTGAGAGAATGCTCATTTTACAAACAGATGGGCTTGGGGAGGAAGTCTTTTGTTTCTGTGAGGTAACCCAGGATCCTTCGATACAGACAAGCTGTCCCTGTAGCTACTCCTGGAGCTACCCATTGCCCCAGGAAAAACCACCAGTGTAAAATGAAGCAGTAAATGCCACTTAATTAAAATTTAATCCATACAGCACTGCATATTAATTTAATGTTAAATGAGACATTCATGCCTTCAAATAATATTTAACTAAAACCAATAGTCATTTTAATAAGAGAGTGTAAACAATGACAAATGTGACCATATACAGTATAAAAAAGTGATTACATGTCTGAGTTTCTTTATATTCTACTAAGAGTCAGCTTAGGGCCAAGTGTTAACAAAATTCACTTTTCCTGACAAATGCATGTTGTGTCTTTTATGTTAGTTGTTTATGTTGTAGTGAAAGGAATAAAGCACGATTTAACACTTATTTTCTGGAATGTCCAGAGAAGAGCATCCAGGTGGATTAACAGACTTGGCACTGGCTAAAGCAATGAGTTTTTTGTTTGAATGTTTGAACAGAGAATAATGTGCCTGATCCTGGTCCCAGTTTTCACAATCCTCAAAAGAAGTGACAAACTCAACCCACTGGACTTGTGAAACATAAATCGGAGGACCCAGCACAAGTTAAAACTCTGTGGGAGTGCATTGAAAACTGACAAAAAGAGGCTGTTCTTTGCACAAAGGGCTGTTGGAGTATGGAACGAGCAAATGTAAGTGTGAGTTCACAGCAATCCTTTATTTTTCAGATGCGAAGGCCAGGTTTATTAACCATGTTAAGTTGCTGAGACAGAGTCAGTGATTCCGAAATGTATTCTTGGTAGGTTCATTGGAAACTGACTGGAGCAAGGTAGTTAAAAGCAGCTTGCTAATTATTAAAGAATTAACTAATTTAACACTGTCTCATCAATTTATAGGCCATAAGCCAATTGGAAAGAATACATTTTTAGAAGAGAGGCCTGAGAGTCCCTTATTTTTATATTTTGATGACCAAACAGCAGTTCTTGTACCTAAAGAGACATAGGCTAAATGTCCCTTTGTCTGATTAAAATAAGACCTTTTTTATTTGCAGAGGAAAAGTGTCTCTTTAGCACTGGGCTGCAAAAATCCAGTTTTCCTTGTCCAGGTTTTTAAAGTGAAAACCAAAAAAGCAATTCAGTTGCACACTCCCTCCATGACTTTAGCTTATATTTACTCCCTTTTTATGTTCTTTTGTCTTATTCGAAACTACATTTTTTTTGCAGACAGCAGGAATGCTACAGATGAGATGCGGAATCTGATTAGATGCCACACGAAAACCTGCCTGTCTACATAATCAGAAGAGTGAGCTGGTGTCCTGTATTACTTTAAATAAAATTGAGAAAAGTAAAACAGAAATAAGTCATTTTAAGCTAAACTTTAAGCTTCTTCAAACCAACCTTGAAGTTGAATGCAAGCTTATTCTCCATAATAGTAAGGCAGAAAAGTTCTGAGACATTTTCCTAAGAAAACAGCAGAGTCGGAGAATGTTTGTTAGACATGAATCTGGACACAACTGAAATGGCCTCAAATTTGATTTGTCTAAAACTGTATTTAGCAGTCAGCAAAAGGGAATATGGCATTTGGTTCTCAGCAATGAAGACTTGACTGTAAACTAATTCTGCCAAATTACCTGAAGAACAGTTTGAGCATTTCTATTTTTTTGCAATCCAAAGACAACAGATGAAACTCCACAATTTTCCAGCAACAGTTCATACCTGAAAAAAAAAAACGGATTATTTTTTTTAATTGTTTGCAGAAGATCATATTTCTGATTTTCCACAACGGCTGTTTCTGTGATGCTACGTGTAAATCGAAATAGTACCTCTGTACTTTTTTCACTGTGCTTAAACCAAAAATTGCCGGGTATACAGATTTTCTTATACAGTTTATTCGGTTTTAAATTCTGATATTATAGTTTATAGTGTAAGTAAAGCCACAGAAAGAATGTAGCATGAAGGGCTTAAAACTGTGAGGAAAGTACGAATGGATGTCAACAAAAGAAGCAGCTCCCTCTACTGGTCCTCCAGCATTATTAGGCAATGATTATCAAAATACTCAACCGTGCTCATATAATAATAATAATAATTGCTTACACTTATATAGCGCTTTTCTGGACACTCCACTCAAAGCGCTTTACAGGTAATGGGGACTCCCCTCGACCACCACCATTCATAGACCTACCTGTATCATCTTAGTAAACGTTTCCATCAATGTATCACCAATTAGTTTTAATAAAGCAACTAAACTAGGAGAAATGTATCAGCTTTTCTAGCACTATTCTATTTTCACCTTAACCTTTGATTTGCATCAACAAAAAGGCTGATAGTGTAACGAAAGGAGTCAAGCCTCTCCAAGCAACACACACCTTTCATTTTCTCAGCCAGCTTCAACACAATAAATTGTTCTGAGGTGTGTGAGTGCTTAAATCCTGTGTTAAACATGCCAGGACATGCTTATTTGGAAAAGGCATTGACTCAAGGTGTGACTCATGTTGCTCTAGATAACCCCTATGACATTAAAGATTAATTGGTGCACAGTAATGACAGCATACAACATACTGTGCTATCTCTTGCACAAGTGGCTGAATGAAAGATGGGAAAGAAACATTCATCTCTTAAAACTACCAAAACGCATCTTCATCAATGAAACCAGAATTTAAAGGATAAGGTCCACATTTTGACCTCCAAATACTATGACCCCTTATTCATATTGCCTTAGGCTGCCGGTAATCATGGCTTCTCGTTCTCTTTAGTTTTGTAAGTTATTTCTAATGAAGAAGGGGAAGATACAATACTAGGAACAGTTATTGATAACTGGGTCTACAACAGGCAATTTTTTTTACAACATCCCACAAAAGATTGGACTAGCTGATAAAGCCAGATTAGGCTTCAATGTGCATCTACAGTATGCTACTGCAGGGCCACACATTCTCAGTTAAAACCATAAATGAATGATAAAAATGATGTACGTACAACTGTTGCCATCTTTCAACAGCCAAGGCTTTGAATTGCAATGAACAAATGCAAAGTTATTCAAAAGCTTCTGCGAATATAACGCTGGAACGGGGTATGATAATATGTTTCGTTCCACAGTTTCCTCCAAACAGTGAGTTATAAACCTCTAAGAAATGTGAAGATAAATGACACAAAATCATTGAGTACAACGGTGATTGTGATTTGTGTGTCTCTATTAGGATGGGTAGCAAAAACACCACTTTTTATTAGCGTCTTAAAACCTCTGTGGATGCAAACCTATTTATATTTCACGTCATTTAACAGGTGACAGCACACACTTAAGTGTCAAACTTCCTGACATCGTTCTCCTCGCTCCCTCCCAAAAAACCTTCTCCAGTTGAGTAACTACACCTTTCCCACATCGGAGGAGAGGAAGTTGTATGCCTCCCTGCTTCCTGTGTTGCCAGCGCTTCAGTGTGTTAAAGATGTAAAGATGGCGGAGCTACAGATGCTTTTGGAAGAAGAAATTCCGGCAGGACGGAGAGCTTTGCTCGATAGTTACACCAACCTCGAAAGAGTCGCAGATTACTGCGAAAACAACTACATACAGGTAAGTTGGAGTGGGTTTTCGGTAAACGGGCTGGCGTTGAGAGGCGAGCGACCTGTCTCGGGTTGGAAAAGGCTGTGGAAAACGAGAGGAGGGATATTGCTGATGCTCTCATGTTGTGCTCCCCTTTGCGATGTTTTGCTCAAGTCCAGATTACAGCTCTTTCCTTTGCTGCAGAGGTTTTTGGACCCATTCGGTGTGTTTGCATTGACATATGTTCAGTTTCCAGGAATGCGGGTGTAGTTTGAGGAATGTAGTGCTTGTGGTGAAGACGTGTGGTAAGTGTGTATGGATGCGTACGGTGGGGGTTGAACATTTGAAACGGACTGGGAATGATTCAGTAAGTTGTAACACGATAAAGTAAAAACTGATATAAATCAGAACGTTAAATATCTAGATTCGTATAGATTTTGGAGGAAAAAAAACCCCCCTATTAGGAAGCATATGCCAGATGCAGGGATATACAGGGAGCGTCAGTATCAGCGTAAACCTGTAAAAATGTCTCTTTAAATAGTTTTTTTAAAGTTCAAATTGAAATCAATAAAGATCAAAAAGTGCATAGCTACTGGAACATTTTTTTTTTTCTGCCGAGTTATGTGTGCATGGCGGCACGGTGTTATTTAATAAACAGGTTTGTCATCTGTCAATCATGGCTTGCTTGATGCGGTGGTGTGTTATTTTCTAGGAGGGTGTCTTGGAATAAACTGCCAGCATGCAGGATGTAGAAAATCATACTATAGGTTTAAAGAGTGGCAGCCCCAGCCTTGCATTTCAAACGCACGCAGCACAGAAAAGAAATAACTTGGTTTCGCTGCATTTTGCAAAGAGATATCGCGTCCGTTTTGGTGGAACGGAGAGTTTAAAACAACCCAGTGCATCTGATCATGATTACAGTCCGGTGATTAATACATTGAAGCCGAAATCTGTGACTAGCCAGACCATTTTTGACCCCCCACTTGCGGGTGATGAGAAACAAATGGGGATTTTAGACGTTTATTTTGCTCCGGAGTTGATCATCTGTGCCTTTGAAGTTGCGATATTGTGATGTCGGCGACGCTTGCGAGCTGTTTCGTGTTGCGGTAGATGTATTTTTTTTAAAAAAAGATACAGCATTTGTTCATTTGTAGTAGTAGTAGCAGCAGCAGCAGCATCTTTAAAAAAAAATTGCCATCGATGAGGTCAGCTGCTACATAATCAAATACCTCTTGCCTCCTGGTGTTTGCCGCGATGGTCGCTAATTGAAAACTATAAATATAAATCAACCGAGGGTTCACTTTTCGGTGACCTGAACGCACTAGAATAAAACGTTCTCAGCCCGAATCAAGTATTTTCAGAGCCCAACTGTATTTATGTTACATTGTTTTTTATTTCTATCGAATTAAGGGGTTGACCTCTCTGACACAAAATGCCCTCGGGGTCTTGCTCGACAGCATTACACAAATTCGTCGGATTTTAGAAAAGCTAATCTGATGTCTTTTTGAAGAACATTTTAATGTGATTGCTGGTGAGCTAAGCATATTAATCGGGTCCCGGCTGTGATTGGTTTTTAAGGTGACTGAGCAGTATCAATAATTTGTTTTCCCCCGGGAATATGGGTTGTGACGCAACGGCGTGTCAGAAAACCCACACGTATCGGTTGATATACAAAATACGTCTATTAAAAATATCAAGTATCCTATTTTATTGTGCATGCACAATAGCGCGTGCTAGATTTTTCTCGCTTTCTTTCAAGGGTTAATTTCCAACAGGAAGGATTTCAGATTGTGCATAAATGCATGAAGGGGTTATACGCTTTTCAGTTTTTACACATAAATGTGAATTGTAATGGTTATTCGACGAGGGACGCGGTTTCATTATCTTGATATTGAACACTTTGGGTTCTGTGACTGTATTTACATGGTTATAGGCGAGTCTTGGCTCTAATGAACAAAATAATGCACTCCTGATAAAATAATTGTACTTTACCAGATAGTTTTATATTATTTTTCCTGGTTGCCTGGCGAAAACGAGATGGTGGTACACTACAACGCTATCGACGCCAAACGTGGAAGCGGAACTCTCGCTAACAATGTTAGTTTTCTATAAAGTTAATTTGATAATAATCCACAATTTTACTCCTTTTTATCAGCCCCAGTTTCTAAACAGCAATATGACTTTCTCCCCTATGTTACTTAACTTTAACGTTAAAATACCACTCCAGTAATGTGTATGGTTAATTAAGGTAAATGGACGCTTTAACATCATTGTTTGGGTAGACGGGAAATTTTAAAAGGCAGTTTGCCACAAAGCCCCCATGATTTCACTTTAGTTCTTGCGTTTCGTTTGTGATTTTGTTGCTGGAGACAGGACCCTCAAAATTGTCATTTTTCCCTGAAACCAAAGAGGGACTGGTTCAAAACTCATAGCTGCCTTTACCCATGGCTGAGTGCTTTATCTGGATGCAAGGGTACAAAGCAATGTCCACAGCTTAAACTCCTGTGTCTTGAACCTCCTTCTCTGCCATCCTGAAAATAGCCCTTTTGAACTTTTTTTTGTCCCTTTCTCCTCAAGGGACTTGTGTTATCAAGGAATGTGGAAGCTATTCCGAAGGTTGATTCCCGATTTGCACCGGAGTCAGAAGTGCTGAAGGGTCTGTCGTGGGCAACGTTGAATTAAGCGCTCGTGAGAGAATGTGATCTTAAAACAGTTGGTCCCGTGTGCCATAATTTACAGCGATTTGTGTTTTGTAATAAAGGGAGGATGTGTTTCTTTTCTCAGCATTGTAGCGGGGGTTTGTGTAATGTTGGGCAAAAGACAAAAATATGTAGACACAAAGCATCCCATTATGGTATTTATATACAGATTGTAGATGTGGCATGTATATAATTTTCCTTGTGAGGTAAGCTTCGTAGGATGGAACATCTGTCTGTTTCAGTTTCTTTAGTCTCTGTGGGGAAATTGTTGGGAAGATTGGACATGACACAGGCTGTGCACATGAATGTTCATGAGTCAGGAGTCTGCCGTGTAGGAACATGGAGCTCGGAGGTGACCCTTTTTTCCCCGAGACAGGGCCGTCATTTTCAAATTGAGTATAACTCTGAAAACAATTACAAAGAAAATACCGACTCAATTCATTTTAAGGACTGCTGAAAAGGGGAGCTGCTGACATTAATAACGCATTGCTTGTGAGAAAGCCTTGGTTTTCATCTGGAGGCATTTTGCGTGTGGCATCTTGGTGTGTGGTGTGTAAATATCAGTAATTAATAGATAGCTTCATTAAACATTTGCCTTTCTCTGGGTTCTTAAATTCAGTGTTACAGTGGCTTTGTTTTTCAGGATCTGCATCAACACTTCTCTGTTTCATGAATTGAAGAAATGCCAGACTTAGGACAGTTGGTGCTGCATTAATACCCTAACGTAGGGTCCACTTACAGTCCTTTCTGGCTGAAATTCCTATTTCCTGGGTTTAAAGGTAGTTAAATATCTATAATCTATATGTGGCAAATAATGGAAATCACAACCCCGTATTCAGCTTCATCAGCTTTGGCAGTTATTTTTTTGTAGAGCGTGCAGACTTCTTACCTTGCCTTAAGATGTCCATAACTGGTTAATACTTTCCAATATCCACACTTTCAAGTTAAGGGTTTATTACCTATCAAGAGAAATACAGCTGAATATTGGGGGTGAAAATAATTCTCTTTTGTTCATTGAAAAGACATCTCACCACACATGGTGTTTCTTGGCAAGAACACTGAAACAAATGTAACATGGTCTCTGAGATTTTTTGAGGGAGGTTGTAGTACTGATAGAGGAGTATAGGATGTATGTTTTTTAGTATTTGTCTAACACTGATAAATTAGCCAAAGCTTAGAGTCATCTTTTACCGTCAGCATAGGGTTTGAAGCTTACTTAAATTTGGAGACGGGACCTATCGGTAGTCATGTTTTGATTTGCATTAAGAGGCACACACGGTTCTGTTTAATATTCCGCGTACCTCACACATGTACCCTGGTCTTGAAGATCACAATCTCTAGCTGTTGGTTTTGTGCAAAGAATTATTTCAAAGAGAGACACCTGTGTGAAATCCAATTTTGCTTTAGTTGGCGCTGTCTTTTTTTTTTTAAACGAGAAAATTACGGTTCTCATTAACTTCAGCCCAGAGAGCGCTGAGCTTTGCATTTGGCGAGACGTCCTAAACAATACAGGATCCAGATTAAAGCCCTGGGTTAAGCACGCAGACTCTCAGCTCCGTTGTGCACAGGTGTCAGCTCTGTCTGCTCTCCCCTCTTCCCCCTCAGTCAGTCAATCGGCTTTGCACACCACTAAGCGTCACAGCAGTTGTAATAAGTGCAGCTACAGTAGTGCTTACTGAATATCTGTAGGGACAGTGCAGCTTCTCCTGTTCGGAGCTGGTGGCAGCCAGTGTGAAGGCTCCACTGGCCTGTGACGCATCTCAGGTTTTTTTTAAGTTGGATGTTTTTTAACTCGTTGTTGGTGTTGCTGTTCTCTGGTGATGTTTTTGGTGTTTCCTTAATGTCTCTGGATTGGAGCAGACAGGCAAATAAACGTTTCATTGCACACGTGCGTACGACAATACACTGAACTGGCGTCCGGAGTTTCGGTGTCTCAGCGTTTCTTTTCCCGTGCTGGAGACGTTCAGGGTTTTAAAATCCAAATGATGGGCTTCTGCGCCCCAGGGTTTCCTCTGTGACTCCTCATAGACCTCATCCCTACGGGAGGCAGTTCTGTGCCATGGCCTTGTCTAGCTGTATCCTGTCAGCAAGCATTGGCAAGAGAGTCTTATACTGATTCCTACAGAAAAAAAAAAAAACTTCATCTGCTGGTGTGCTTATCTGAGCTGTAATTGCCTGTAATACTAGCCTTTAGTAATTGCTAGCAGGTGATTGCCAATCATTTCTTTCATTTCATCGGGTTTTTTTTTTTCTACCTGCCCTCTCTCCCTCACGCCTGAAGAAAGATCTGTGGCCCGTACATCGCTTCTTTTCTTTACCTTCCAGTAGGGC